TTGGTGATGTTTCTAGGAAGAAGTTGCTGCGGCTGAGGTCGAAGAGGTTGCTGCCTGTGTTCTTCTTTAGGATTTTGATGGATTCCTGTCTCACACTGAGGTCTTTCAACCATTTGGAGTCTATTTTTGTGTGTGGTGTAAGGAAATGGTCCAGTTTCATTCTTCTGCATGTGGCTATCCAATTTTCCCAACACATTTGTTGAAGAGATTGTCTTTTTTCTTTTTCCATTGGACATTCTTTCCTGCTTTGTCAAAGATTAGTTGACCATAGACTTGAAGGTCCATTTCTGGGCTCTCTCTCCTGTTCCATTGATCTATGTGCCTGTTTTTGTGCCAGTACCATACTGTCTTGATGATGACAGCTTTGTAATAGAGCTTGAAGTCCAGAATTGTGATGCCACCAGCTTTGCCTTTCTTTTTCAACATTCCTCTGGCTATTTGCGGTCTTTTGTGGTTCCATACAAATTTTAGGATGATTTGTTCCATTTCTTTGAAAAAAGTGGATGGTATTTTGATAGGGATTGCATTATATATGTAGATTACTCTAGGTAGCATTGACATCTTCACAATATTTGTTCTTCCCATCCATGAGCATGGAACGTTTTTCCATTTCTTTGTGTCTTCTTCAGTTTCTTTCATGAGTATTTTATAGTTTTCTGAGTACAGATTCTTTGACTTTTTGGTTAGATTTATTCCTAGGTATCTTATGGTTTTGGGTGCAATTGTAAATGGGATCGATTCCTTAATTTCTCTTTCTTCTGTCTTGTTGTTGGTGTATAGGAATGCCACTGATTTCTCTGCATTGATTTTTATCTTCTGCCACTTTACTGAATTCCTGTATGAGTTCTAGCAGTTTGGGGGTGGAGTCTTTTGGGTTTTCCACATAAAGTATCATATCATCTGCAAAGAGTGAGATTTTGACTTCTTCTTTGCCAATTCGGATGCCTTTGATTTCTTTTTGTTGTCTGATTGCTGTGGCTAAGACTTCCAATACTATGTTGAATAGCAGTGGTGATAGTGGACATCCCTGCTGCGTTCCTGACCTTAGGGGGAAAGCTCTCAGTTTTTCCCCATTGAGAATGATATTCGCTGTAGGTTTTTCATAGATGGCTTTTATGATATTGAGGTATGTACCCTCTATCCTTATATTCTGAAGAGTTTTAATCAAGAAAGGATGCTGTACTTTGTCAAATGCTTTTTCTGTATCTATTGAGAGGATCATATGATTCTTGTTCTTTCTTTTATTGATGTATTGTTTCACATTGATTGATTTGGAGATGTTGAACCAACCTTGCAGCCCAGGGATAAATCCCACTTGGTTGTGGTGAATAAGCCTTTTAATGTACTGTTGGATCCTATTGGCTAGTATTTTGGTGAGAATTTTTGCATCCATGTTCCTCAAGGATATTGGTCCTTAATTCTCCTTTTTGATGGGACCTTTGTCTGATTTTGGGATCAAGGTAATCCTGGCCTCATAAAATGAGTTTGGAAGTTTTCCTTCCATTTCTGTTTTTTGGAACAGTTTCAGAAGAATAGGTATTAATTCTTCTTTAAATGTTTGGTAGAATTCCCCCGGGGAAGCCATCTGGCCCTGGGTTCTTGTTGGGAGATTTTTGATGACTGCTTCAATTTCCTTAGTGGTTATGGGTCTGTTCAGGTTTTCTATTTCTTCCTGGTTCAGTTTTGGTAGTTTATACAGCTCCAGGAATGCATCCATTTGTTCCAAATTATCTGATTTGCTGGCATGTAGTTGCTCATAATATGTTCTTGTAATTGTTTGTATTTCTTTGGTGTTGGTTGTGATCTCTCCTCTTTCATTCATGATTTTGTTGATTTGGGTCCTTTCTCTTTTCTTTTTGATAAGTCTGGCCAGGGGTTATCAATCGTATTAGTTCTTTCAAAGAACCAGCTCCTAGTTTTGTTGATCTGTTCTACTACTCTTTTGGTTTCTATTTCATTGATTTCTGCTTTGATTTTTATTATTTCTCTTCTCCTGCTGAGTTTAGGCTTTATTTGCTGTTCTTTCTCCAGCTCCTTTAGGTGTAGGGTTAGGTTGTGTATTTGAAACCTTTCTTGTTTCTTGAGAAGGACTTGTATTGCTATATACTTTCCTCTTAGGACCACCTTTGCTGCATCCCAAAGATTTTGAACAGTCGTGTTTTCATTTTCATTTGTTTCCATGAATTTTTTAAATTCTTCTTCAATTTCCTGGTTGACCCATTTATTCGTTAGTAGGATGCTCTTTAGCCTCCATGTATTTGAGTTCTTTCCGACTTTATTCTTGTGATTGAGTTCTAGTTTCAAAGCATTGTGGTCTGAAAATATGCAGGGAATGATCCCCATCTTTTGGTACTGGTTGAGACCTGATTTGTGACCTAGGATGTGATCGATTCTGGAGAATGTTCCATGGACACTAGAGAAGAATGTGTATTCTGTTGCTTTGGGGTGGAATGTTCTGAATAGATCTGTGAAGTCCATTTGGTCCAGTGTGTCATTTAAAGTCTTTATTTCCTTGTTGATCTTTTGCTTAGACGATCTGTCCATTTCAGTGAGGGGGGTGTTAAAGTCCCCCACTATTATTGTATTGTTGTCATTGTGTTTCTTTGATTTTGTTTAATTGCCTTATATAATTGGCTGCTCCCATGTTAGGGGCATAGATATTTACAATTGTTAGATCTTCTTGTTGGATAGACCCTTTAAGTAGGATATAGTGTCCTTCCTCATCTCTTATTAAAGTCTTTGGTTTAAAATCTAATTTGTCTGGTATAAGGATTGCCACCCCAGCTTTCTTTTGATGTCCATTAGCATGGTAAATGGTTTTCCACCCCCTCACTTTCAATCTGGAGGTGTCTTTGGGTCTAAAATGAGTCTCTTGCAGACAGCAATCTGATAGCCTGTGTCTTTTGATTGGGGCATTTAGCCCATTTACATTCAGGGTAACTATTGAAAGATATGAATTTAGTGCCATTATATTGCCTGTAAGGTCGATTGTTACTGTATATCATCCCTGTTCCTTTCTAGTCTAGGTTACTTTTAGGCTTTCTCTTTGCTTAGAGGACCCCTTTCAATATTTCTTGTAGGGCTGGTTTCGTGTTTGCAAATTCTTTTAGTTTTTGTTTGTCCTGGAAGCTTTTTATCTCTCCTTCTATTTTCAATGACAGCTGAGCTGGATATAGTATTCTTGGCTGCATATTTTTCTCATTAATGCTCTGAATATATCCTGCCAGTCCTTTCTGGCCTGCCAGGTCTCTGTGGATAGGTCTGTTGCCAATCTAATGTTTCTACCATTGTAGGTTAAGACCTCTTCTCCTGAGCTGTTTTCAGAATTTTCTCTTTGTCCCTGAGACTTGTAAGTTTTACTAGTAGATGTCCGGGTGTTGACCTATTTTTATTGATTTTGAGGGGGGTTCTCTGTGCCTCCTGGATTTTGATGCCTTTTTCCTTCCCCAAATTAGGGAAGTTCTCTGCTATAATTTGCTCCAATATACCTTCTGCCCCTCTCTTTCTTCTTCTTCTGGGATCCCAATTGTTCTAATATTGTTTCGTCTTATGGTATCGCTTATCTCTTGAATTCTGCCTTCGTGATCCAGTAGTTGTTTATCTCTCTTTTTCTCAGCTTCTTTATTTTCCATCATTTGGTCTTCTATATTACTGATTCTCTCTTCTGCCTCATTTATCCTAGCAGTTAGAGCCTCCATTTTTGATTGCACTTCATTAATAGGCTTTTGATTTTGACTTGTTTAGATTTAGTTCTTTTATTTCTCCAGAAAGTGTTTCTCTAGTATCTTCCATGCTTTTTTCAAGCCCAGCTAGTATCTTTATAATCGTCATTCTGAACTCTAGTTCTGACATCTTACTAATGTCTGTATTGATTAGGTCCCTGGCAGTTGGTACTGCCTCTTGTTCTTTTTTTTTTTTTAAGGTGAGTTTTTCCGTCTTGTCATTTTGTCCAGAGGAGAATAGATGAATGGGAGAACAAAATGCTAACAGGGTAACAATGACTCCAGAAAAATATGCACTGGTAAGAACTCGGAAGCCCAGATGCTCTCCTCAGAAAATTCAAGATTCAGATTCTGATGATGCCACAGACTGCACCCACGCTCCACTAATCACCTTTCTATTTCTGTCTCTGTTACCTTATTCTGGACTTTCATATGAATGGAATATAGTATGTGATCTTTCATGACTGGCTTATTTCACTTAGCATGGTACTTCAAGATTCATCCATGTTGTAGCATTCATCCATGTCAATATTTCATTCCATTTCATGGCAGCATAATATTCCATTGTATGGATGGATTACATTTTGTTTATCTTTTGATGGATATTTGGGTTATTTCCATCTTTTGGCTGCTGTTGATAATATCACTACAAATATTTGGGTATAAGTTTCTGTGTGGGCATCTGTTCTCATTTCTCTTGGGTATATACCAAAAGTAGAATTGCCGGGTGATATGGTAACTTTAAGTTTATTAATTTCAGGAAATGCCAAGCAGTTTTCCAAAGTGGCTGCACCATTTTGCTTTCTTGCCAGCTGTGTATGACAGTTCCAATTTCTCCACATCTTCATCAACCCTTGTTGATCTGACTTTTTGAATTAGCCATACTAGTGGGTGTGAGCTCATGAGGATTTGGAAGGATTTGGAGAGGATTTTCCCTTTCTAGTAGTTTCTAAATCCATTATATATACTTATATATATAAATGTATGTAAGTATATGAACTTAAATGCGTAAATATATAAAACACTTTTAAGTGTAGTGTCTGTAAAAGTATGCCTGCGAAGATGTCCTATTGCCTATCACAGTAATAAAGGATATTTCAATATTTCCTCATCCAAAATTCTTACTGCTCAAAACCAACGCGGGAAACTTTAGTAATGTGTGAGGTAAGGGAACGAAAGGGGATGGGTGGAAAAGTGGGAACAGGTGGTGTATTTTTCAGGAGCAGGAGATTGCTCCATTGCTTATCTCTGTGTCTGATGGCTCCCTCTGTCTTTCAGGAGGACTGGCGTTGGCCCACGTGCTCTTTTTCTATCTGAAGTACTTGGTGCTCTTCGGTGTCCCAGCTCTACTCATGCGCCTGGATGGACTCACGCCGCCGCCCCTCCCTCGCTGTGTGAGCACCATGTTCAGTTTCACTGGCATGTGGAGGTCAGTAGTTTGGTTTATTAAAGCCTTCTGGGGATGTCCAGTGGGAGGAGCCATGGCTTGGCGAGTGTCAAAGGGTTTGGGCCACCGTCCTTTCTCTGTCCCTCACTCAAGCCACGTTTGGCACTTGGGTTTCTTCATCTGTCTAATAGGATGACAATCTGTGCTTTCTGAACTCCTCAAAATTACTGCCAGGCTGTGAAGATATGTGAGATAAGAAAATTTCTCTCCAGGTCTTTGTACTATGCACATAGGGTGATGTGTAAATGGTTTCTTACTAACTTGGGATATGCTGCAATGTATTATTTTATTGCTCTCTTTTTTTCTTGAAAATGATCTCTGTATATGTGGGACTGTCAATTAAAAACAATAGAATTAGGATAATAGCATAAGTCCCTGTTGGCATTTACTAGCTCCCAGATCTGGGACAATTTAATAAATTTCTCTAAGTTTCAGTTTTCTTCTCTCTTAAATGGCAATAATAATAGTGAGGGTGATAATACCCATATTCAGGAGTTGTTTTGAATATTAAATAAGCTGATGCATTTAAGGCATTTGGCATGTTGTAGATGTTTACAAATGTTAGCTTTTTTTTTTTTCTTTAAAGATTTTATTTATTTGAGAGAGAGAGTGAGAGAGAGAAAGAGCACAAGAGGGGGGAGCGGGAGAGGGAGAAGCAGACTCCCTGCTGAGCAGGGAGCCCGATGCGGGACTCGATCCCGGGACTCCAGGATCATGACCTGAGCCGAAGGCAGTCGCTTAACCTACTGAGCCACCCAGGCGCCCCACAAATGTTAGCTTTTTATCCTTTTATTATTCCTATATCTGGTGCACATGGATAGACAGATGTGTTTTCTGAGTTTTCTTACTCTTCTTGATTTTGCCCCATAAATATATGGCTGGCCTGGAGCTTTTGTTCCAAAAGATCCCTCAGCCCCCTTGCTGTTTCTGCTTGTTGTTCTCCAGATGGGCTTGCTTGCTGCTGTGTGTTTCTTATCCCTTCCAGTATGTAACAAGTGACAGGGCTTGCTTTTGCAATTGCACACCTAATGGAGGAAGCTCAGCCTAGGTACCTGCACAGTGATGGGGGTCAGCATGTCTTAGACACCTCCATTTCCTCCACCCCAGCGTCAGCCCTGCTCAGAGTTGCTGTTCTGGCTCATTCACATGGCGCCTTTGGCCTTATATTTCATCTCTGTAGGCAGAAGAGCCAGGACCAGGTAGAGGAAGAGCTCAGTGAATATTACCATATCTAATGTTGCTATAAAAAAGGGCTGGATAGCCTGCAACATTCTAGTTTTCCATAGCAACTGATTATAGATGCTGAATTAAAAGCCTCTGTAAATACATTTTATTATTGGTTCAGTTTGCTTCTTGGGATTAGAAATTTCATATGGTTATTGCAAGTAATGTTAGATAACTGCTTTGATTTGTCCTTAATTACTTCATCAAATATCATAGGTTGCCTAGTTTTAATGGCAGGCTTGGAGAATGCTAGCAAAGGGGTTCTTTCTAGCCAGGGAGACACAGGGTGGTTCTTGGTTAAAAGATGAACCTGGTTGGGAGGCTCTGTTAACTTTCGTCCTACTCATAAAATTAATTTACTGAGTAAATGGGTTGGGACCCAGCATGATTTGGGGTCATGTCACTGGTGACTGGTGTGCACCTAGCATGGTTCCTCTGCCTCCTTGTGAATGCTTGCCCTAATGCAGTTCTTACAAAGCATATTCTCCTAAAAGGCTTCTTGTGTCAGTTGGTGTGATGAAAACCCATGACTCTTGGGCAGGCATGCTGGTCCCAGGCTCTTTGTCCATAGATCTCAGCCCATTGATTGTCACAGGAGGCAGTTTAGACTGTTGGCTGTATTTCACATTCAGAGTAGTTGTCGTCTTCTCCTTTACTAATTAATTATTTTTTGGTCCAGTACCCTCTGTTGTCTATACACAGCAAAGGCAGAGAGAGCATATCTGCCAAGTCCTTTGTCATTTCGATTAGAACTAGACTCAAATGGTGTAGACTCCAGTTAAAGTTTTAAGACAGATGTGGGTGAGAGGGTCATAAAAGTTGCTGTGAGCTAGAAGCTCTAGGGTGAGCCCTGGGAGTGAGGCGGCCCTAGGGGAAGTGTTTACGAGAGCGTGTGACAGAATGACAAACATGGTCTTTCCTGGGGGTGACCTAGACTTTTATCCTGGCCTTTTTTTTTTTTCCAGCTTACATGGGTGTAGATTTTCCCCTTCACAGTTTTTAGTTCGCTGAAGGGTTTTCCAGTTTGCCAGTTATACTTAGAAACACCTTGGTCTTTGTTGTTTGTACACAATGAGCATTCCACATTAAGTAGTTGAATTTAGGAAGGGAGGTCAACTCTGTGCTACAGTGTACAACTTAAGGCTCCAAAGAAGTAGTTTTGAATTGAAAAAATAAAAATTACAGCTTCTCTTTTACACTGTTTGCAGATATTCCTCCATCCTTCAGAGGAAGTTTACCATGTTCCCATTCAGGATCTGGTAGCCTGATCCTACAGCGGCCCTGGTCCCCACTCTCTAACTTTTCTCTGTGAAATGCACGTTGAGGGAAAATAAAGTTTTGAATTTGTAGTTTCTGTTTACATCTAGCTTTACATTAATAATTCTAGGTCATCTGTCGAGGTCTTGCTGCAGCCAGGGAATTGTCTCCTCTTCCTGGATATAGGTCCGGGAAGAACTGAGTCATGAACAGATGTGAAAGGGGACCGTGCCCGCCCATTATTCTGAGCAGTGGCAGCCAGTCATCCAGTGACACAAAGGGAACGGCGGATGGGAAGTGGAGGGAAGAAATTTAAAAATAGTCTTCGCAGATTATCTAGTGGTTACCTGACCTAGAAAGTCAACACTGAATGAGGTTTGTTTGTTTATTTATTTTAGATTTTATTTATTTGAGAGAGAGTGGCAAGAGGGAGCACAAGCCAGTGGAGGGGCAGAGGGAGAAGGAGAAGCAGGTTCCCCGCTGAGCAGGGAGCCCGACGTGGGGCTCAATCCCAGGACCCGGGGATCATGACCTGAGTCGAAGGCAGACGCTTAATCGACTGAGCCACCCAGGTGCCCCCTGAGTGAGGTTTCGAACTGATGATGAGAGGTGAATTTTTAGCCTCCCATTTTGTTTTTTTAAAAATATTTATTTATTTATTTATTTGAGAGCAAGAGAGCACAAGCAGGGGGAGGGGCAGAGGGAGAGGGAGAAGCAGGCTCCCCACTGAGCAGGGAGCCCGATGTGGGGCTCAATCCCAGGACCCGGGGATCATGACCTGAGCCGAAGGCAGATGCTTAACTGACTGAGCCACCCAGGCGCCCCTAGCCTCCCATTTTAAAGGCAGCTTACACACCTGAACACCATGCTGACTGACTGTAGCATATTTCATCAGTCCACTTAACAGTGAGAGAAGACTTGAAGCCAGCAGCCTACTATATCAGAGGAATCTGAGCTCTACATCATAGAACAGATGAAATTGGCCATCAGCAGAGAGATAATGTTTCTTGACCTGCTAGTTCAAATTGGTCATGAACAATTGCTATTCACCCAGATGGCCCGGACCTGAAAGTTAGGACCTGATGGGTTTGTTTATTTATTTATTTTTTCCCTTCTAGCTCTTTTCTTTCATTTAATTCCTGCTCAGATATTTGCGTGATAACAAAACCCTAAGGAGTATGTGTATTCCCACTTGTGTGATTTTTCTGTGGCCTTATAGACCTGAGAAATTGAGAATTTTCTGCTTAATTTTCAGGTTTCATGTTTTAATTTAGGTAGGCTGAGATCTGTAATGAGCATCTTTTGCCGGGAGTCATTAAAGATGACATTGCCTGTCCGAGGTTTCAAATTAGAAGTCTGATCATGTTCCCTCTGATTTGATCTTTAGCTATGGAAGCAAAGTGTGCAAAGTGATAGAATTTTCCGTGGCGGCTGGTGAGTTATGGGTCAATTTCAGTTATCAGGAATCTTGCACAGCTTGCCCTCTGCCTTTCTTGAATTATGATGCTCTCAGGTCTTCATAGGCGAACTCATGCATCACAGCTTAACCCAGAGCAATTTGGGCACTGCTAGACCTTAACGTGTGGGGACATTTTGGGGTTGGGGCTGGGGAGGAGCCTGATCCTCTTCTTTCAGTGGGGAGTTGATTGCATGAACTTTTAGGTCAATAGAAGAATTTAGGGTCCTAGATGGAGAGTTGGTCCAGGCCTGTGGTAGATGATGAAAACTAGCTCTACAAACTGCTGGCTTTATATTCGTCCTGCCTCTGAATCATGTGTGACCTCAGGCTGCAGGACAGGATGGTGAGCCTGGAGTCGGTCAAGTACACACCACGTCTACCGGCACTGCTGGGGGGGCAGTGGGGGCAGCGTGAACGTAACGGGGAAAAGATTAGAACGGATGCCATTAATAAACGTTCCCTGTTTTTGCAGGCCTCCTGCTAACCGACAGCTTGCCCCTTACTAGCTGTGTGATTTGGCCAAATAATTAAAATGCTCTGGGCTAACCTTTTCATTTCTAAAATAGACATAATAATAGCACTTGCTGCCTGGGGCGATGTGAGGGTTGATGAGCCTAGTGTTTAGTAGGTCCTTGGGAAGGGGTAGCTTCTAAGTTTTTGTTTGAAAATCTAGCAAAGCCAGAGGTGACTGTGAAATCAGCCTGTGGGAGGGTGGTGTTGGGGAAGCAGTGGGCAGTGATGAGACTGGCCGAGGAAAGGCACTAGTCCAGCTCTGAGCCTGAGATGCGACATCTGAGAGAGAAAGGCTGTGGTGGAGAAGTCACGGGCTCTGTGCCCTCGGAGGAGAGAGCTCGATCCAGTCGATTCTGCCTCAGTTTTCTCTACTGTTGAATGGAAGAAAGACTCTTATCATTAGATGATGTCTATATTCCCTTCCAGTTCTGTGTTAACATGAGCCCCAGCCACACTGGGTGGGGATGACCACCAGTCCCTGGTGGTGGAGTCCTGTCTCCTTCACTACCCATGTAATGGGGCAGAAAGT